CCCTGTCCCCGCGAGGTCCCCAGGTGGGCACGGGCAAAGTGCAGTGCTCGGCTCAGCTCCAGGAGCTGCTGCAGCCCCAGTCCCGAGCTATGCCCGGCTCCTTCGCTCCCCTCCTCCTCCTCCTCCTCCTCCTTCTTCTCCTCCTCCTCTTCCTCCCTCTCCCCTCCTTCTCCTCTCTCCTGCTCTCGCTCCTCTCCTGCTCCCCACCCGCTCCCCACTGGATCGCACCCCCACAGTGGGGTCTGCGTGCCTGAGAGCTCCAGGTGGAGACAGACTCGTCGCCCACCCGTGCCTGGCCCCCAGTCCCGGCCCTGACTGCTGCTGCCGCCGGTGCCCGCTCCGTGGCCTGTCCATGCTGTCCGCTGGCGCCCATCACTGACAGACTCGTGTCCGTGTTCTGAGTATAACTTGCCAAACTCTTTATTCTTTCGATATTTGCAGATATGTGCCACTGTTTCCAACTTTTCATCAACAAAAAGGCCTTTCCAACTCCTTCCAAATTAGAAGATCCAGGTGGTTACACACGGCACCTCTGTACAAATTCTCTCACTTTTCATTGCCTCTCCAGGGCCGGATAAGGGATGGGCACTGGGATTGATCTAAGATTAGAGGCTCCCCCCCCCCCCCCCCAGCCTGGGGCACCCCCTCGCGGTTTTTTTTCCCCCCTCGGAGACACGCAGGAGCCTTTTAAATCCCCCCAATGTAAAGTCTAGGAAGCGCTGAGACGGCCTGCGCCTGCACTTTAAGCTGGGACATTTCTGGGCCTGCTGGATGCTGTCTAGGCACTGCCCGTGCTCGGGGATGTCAGGCGGACGACCCTCCTGGGACGGGAAGACCTGCAGACCCGCCGGGACCGGGCGACAGCCGCGCGTGGAGCTGGATGGGCCAAAAGACGCTTTGCTGCTGCCTGCGGGAGCTGCTGCAGCGCCTGCCGCTAGCGCTCCGCTCCTTCCTCCCTCCTGCACCTCTGCAGCCTGCATGGACTCCTGCTCCTCTTCCTCTTCCTCCTCGCAGCCGAGCAGCCATCTGTGTCTCTTTAGTTTTCTTCTCTTTCGATCTCTTTGTTTGGTTCTGGGCCCAAAAGCCGGTGAATCGGTGTCCCAGGCGCGCGGGGCTTGTGTCCCTTTCTGATCCAAAGCACACGGGGCGCTCCCGGACTGAGGGGGTGTGTAGGACACTCCAGAGAGACGCTGCCGCTGCCTCCTGCCATTGTTGTGATTCTGAATGTATTGGTTGTGCTCCATGCCGTGTATGACTTGGTATTTCCCTCTGTCCTAAGCACTTTGAATGAGTTCTGCTCAACAGACTGTAAATTTCATACTGTATTTATTGGAGTTTGCTCTCCCCGCGGCCGCCCCGGGCGCCGGCGGGTCCCGCTCTCGCCGCTCTAGACGTGTGGTAGATATTTATTGTCCATGCTCTTTTGTAAGGGGCTGGTATCTCTCTGCCCGGTGACCTGTGCTACTTTGTATGGTGCAAGTGTGTTACCAGAATAAATCTGTTGGATTAGTAGAGGTGTGAGTTCCTTCACTGCCTGAGCCTCTCCTGCTTCCATCCATGCTATCCATGCCCCACCTGCATCCCAGGCCATTTCTGTCTGTCGCCATGTCCTGTGTGCCCCCGCGGGAGGGGGGGCTGAGGTAGCCCCGCCCTGCCAGGAGGAGGACAGCTCTGCTTGCAGCGGGGGGAGAGGACAGCTTGCCGGGGGGGGCT